CGAAACGTTTCATTAAAGAAGAACCCGTCCAGAGGACCTGTACTATTTTTTTCTTTTTGATTTGTTACCTGGATTACTGAGATGCATCAGGATACTTTAATTCATATTATATATAACTGTGTGTGTGCATATTTAAATCTATAAAATCAGCAGCTAACCAAAACATTTGCTTAGCGGGTGCTAGTTAAAAATACATCTTCACCAACACTAAACCATTACATGTACAAAATAAGCAGAAGGCCGCTAACACTCACTGCTAACCCTTGTTGCACTGTAAGGCCCAGCCTGGCTTTAATCCCATGTTTGCAGTGCATTAGTTCTTATGACCCAGTTCCATCCTGGTTTCTGGAACACCAAGACCCTGGTTCTAACTGGGCCAGTGTTCTGACAGAAAGAAACTCATTGGAATGGCAACCCTCAGGCCATGTGCTGCAATAAAACTCACATAAKTGCACATGCATGAAATTCCAACCATCATTCACCTCCGACAAGCGTCACACAGATTAAATTAATCTGACATGAATCGTTTGCAGTGTTTGTGATGTTTCACAAGTTTAACCACACAACAATAGTAGCAAGCTACCACGCAGCAGCAACAAGCTAATATTAGCTACCATTAGCTTAATGTTTCATGTCGACCTGCCTTTTTAAACATCATGCTGCTGGATGATTGGATACGCTCTTCGGTACGTTTCCTTCAATGTTTGGTGCAGTTCATTATTGTCAGAAATAAAATGAAATAAGATTTGTGTGTTTCTGCAAAAAATGCCTGCTTTGTTTTCTTCAAGCTGAAGACTGGTGGGACTGACACAAATCTGTTGATGTTAGTTTGTTCATTAGCTGCTTGTGGACTTAAATTTGGTAAAAGCTAATTGACGGGAATCTAACGGTTCGACAAAAGTTTTCAAAGTTAGCAAAAAAGCTAATCTGCTAAACAGAAAATTAGCTCTGCTGTTAGCTGATCAGTGAAACCATGCCCAGCACTAAGAATAAAAAAACCTTTATTTATTTATTTTATTTTCTGAATGTGAGGACATTTAAACAAAGAAATAAATACTTTGCTAGGGAGTAATACATAATACAACCCAGTATATTTACCTGGTACTTATTGGGTAAAAACAGGTCAAAAGTTTGGACACACCTTCTCTTTCAAAGAGTTTTCTTTATTTTCTTGACTATGAAAATTGTAGATTCACACTGAAGGCATCAAAACTATGAATTAACACATGTGGAATTATATATTTAACACAACAGTGTGAAACAACTGGAAATATGTCATATTCTAGGTTCTTCAAAGTAACCACCTTGCTTTGGTTACTGGTTCACACACACTCTTGGTATCCTCTTATATGGACCCTGTACATCTGGAGACCACTCAAAATGTGTGTTGTGTTTGTGTTTAACAAGTATTTCTCCTCCTAACAACCATTTTGATGATAAATATCTAAATCAGCTGCTGCCTTTTCTTTCCTGTTGTATTAAGGAAACTTTCAGGTGCTCAGATCTCAAATGCAGCTTCCTGTTGAGTAAAACAATAACGGTATTGAAAGGAATATGGGTGTGGGAGTCCTTACGAACGAGGCTGCATGATGATGTCACCTTTTCACATCTTCAGCAGCCTATTATTATTATTATTACTGAAAAACAAGCTTCAGAAAGTCCAGTCTCAATGGAGTGGACTTCCACCACACCAGTCCACCCATTACACAAGGACAGGACGTAGCACTTCTGCAAACTGATTTACATCTAAATAAATACGGCCCGAGACGAAACAATGTGCAGACCCGAAGGAGGAACAGGCGTCACTCTCTGCCCGGCGAGTTCGATTTATATCAGCCGATGGAGGGCCAAGCTGCAGGGCACGATAAGACGGGAGGGACCGCTGAGTTAAAGCATTGTGCTGCTGCTCTGGTTTGCTGGCACAATCTGAAATGAACACAAAGGAACTGAAGCGGGACACCGCGACATGAAACAACAAAGTGTTAGCATGAACGTATACGAGCCCTGTGGTTTCAGAAAAAAAGCCTTTTTTCACTCAGGTAAATTTAAAGGGTGATACCAGGTTATTTCCCCTRAGTCAGTGAGATTAAATCATTATCTGTTGCTTGATGTTCGATTGTTGGAGGACGTTGATTAGATGTGAGAGCCTTTTTACAGGAACAACATGCACCTGTTGACCTTAACATGTTTCTCTATTTTACTGAAAGTTGTTTTTGACACCTGAAAACATCTGTTTACTTAAGAAAAAGTTAGTTTTGGGCTGTGGCCTCCGAAGGACCCGGCCTACCCGGTCTAGGTGGGTGAAGGCCGGAAAAAAGGCTGTGAATTTGGACGGTCTAGTCTCCCATCCTCACCCCGGCGTACGTCATGTCGCCTATCTGTGACGATGCTAAACAAAAGAAAACTTAAAGGAAATTAGGAAAATATCAATATATTAGTGTTTTTAGTATCACAAAACAATAAAATTAACTTAAAAGGTAATATTTGAAGAGCTAATTGACCGCCGTAAGTGCATGTTTATTTCGCGTTTTTTTTCTGACAAAAATAATATTTAAAACACGTCTATAATGACAAAAGTATTAACAAAGGATCCATCCGACCTGTCCTTCGATTCGGGCCAAAGGAAGGACGCATTTGTCGGCCATATTGGAGGAGTCTTCGGTTTGGGACGGCCTTCATCGCGGCGCTGTGACGTATGCAGCCGACGAATTCGGCCTTTGGAGAACCCAGCCCACTGTTTTGGACACAGCCATTATTAGCTTGGGCGCTAACACCATTTATCACTTTATATTATCTAGGAAGCTAATAGCTAACACTATATAATGTATATGTGGTGTTAGCTCCAAAGCTAATGTTAGCACCAGAGCTATTACCATATAAATGTGGTGTCAGGTAGCATGAAAGCTAAAAGGCTAAAAGGTGAGGTTCTCCTTCCATGAAGCAGCTCGGTTGTCCTCCATTTTAGTTTTCAGTTTCAGTTATTTCTGCATCCTCTTTTTGTCAATGTGCTCTGTTTGAAATTAAAATGGCTGAACATCAGACATTGTCCAAAAACAATGTTCAAGCTGGATAAAGTGCGCACTGGAGCACCTTGTAACCCAGAATTCTCTGCAGCATAAATAACGTCTTATTTGTTTGTAATTTTTTTATAAAAACTAAACAGCCTAGAGTAGGTTTACACTCTTGTTTTTATAGTTGAATTAAATGTTATTAAATAATGTGTAAAGTTACGACTAATCAGAGTTCCCTAAAAGCTGCAGAGCAGAGCAGGTGAGCTCGGCGGGCCGACAGGAAGATATATTTTGTGTCTGCAGGTTTGTTGAAGTCTGGGCACCATCAGTGGGGTTCAGGCAGTAATTGGTCGTGACTGAAACGTCCCCTCACACACATGTTCTCAGGAGAATGGGATCAACACCTTACAGGTGTCGGCCCACGGTCCCATCGCAGTGCTGATATGACTTCTGGA